AAGTTTTTGGACATTAAAACATTAGTCAAGTATTATTCGTTAATTGGTTAATTGACACTTTTGTTAATACACATTCGTTGTTTACATTAACGGAAAATTGTATACACTACCGTGATTGAATTTTATTTGCAGAAGTTGATACGAGAATGTCCTTTAGAAGAAACGTGATTTATTAACTGAAACACTATTTCAAAAAATAAATGCGGAGACGGCAATTGGAAAAATTGTACAGTGGCAAGTGAAACAGATACTCGGTAGCATTTTGGTTTAGAATTTAGATGGACTCCCAGATAAATTTGGCTTGCGCTCGCAAAGAACGCAAAGAATATTATATGAGTGCCCTTCTGTATGTAGTATGTCGTACTGTTAAAGCTTGTTCTGCCAAATACCCTCTACTTAATCAACCGCTTTCATCTATCAAATCACATTACTCAGAATCGAAGTAATGAGGGTAGTGTTGTACTTGGACCAATCTTCTATATCCTTAAACCGCAGATGTTCCGACTAAACCTACCAGTCTCCTTGCATCCTTTGCGATAAGACAACAGTACTATCATCCGTCCCCGATTCCACTGTTGCTTCGGAAGTAGATCTGTACAGGCCTATCTCACGTATTGCTAGATTGGTGCTGACAATGGAAAATGAAATCGTGCGCGTACATGTCGCATTTACACTCCGTAGCAACCTATCCCCAAATGTGACTGGTTTACCTTGAGTTCCACCTAGACTCCCGCTTAACATAGAATCAGCATACAGAACCGACAAGACCTAAACAGATAGTATGATCTACTGTACAACTTATGGCCTCTCCCCCTGGATGCGACAATGTGGAGAATGGATATCTGAGAATGAACAGCTTTAATCCGAGATGTGTGCCGGGCGGTTACACGGTCTCGAATTCGTCCCTCGAGATTACTGGTCGAGATGATGTCGACTCGTTCGGCGCTTGAACGGCCATCTCGTCTCTTCTATTCACCCATGGGAGCCATTAGACCACTTAATGTGGAACTACGGTGACAATAAGTGGTACAGTGTGGACAAGGCGAGGGGTGCAGCCTGAAAAGGCGAGCCTCGTGTCCTCGTTCATTCCCCTTTCTCAATCCAGGTCCTTCGGCACATTTCCTTGAGGCCTCTCCCAACCCTTGGATGCTAGGGGGGTATCCAGGCGCAAAATAATGGTGCAGCCTCGAGGGCGTGGCAACCTCTCTAAAGCACAAGCTGGATTCGTGTCGGCTTCCGGGTCGGCAGTGGACGGCGGGTGCTTTATCAGAGGCACATGAGGGTTGGTGTACCAGATTCTGTCTGTATAGACGGAGGAGGGTGCATAACCATCTGTACTACGGGGTAGCAGAAATGTTCCAAAGTCCAGCCCTTGCTACATGGGAAAGGACTCGTAGTGGCTTAGTGGCGATGCCCCTGGCGGGAACTTAGAGAAGAGGCTGTTCTGTGACCTCCGCCCAAGCACTTGTGTCTGATTTTCGTTACGACCCCGGCCTCACGGGATACGAGGGATCGGACTATAGAAGCGTATAGCGTTGAGGACGCTCAGAATACGCTGACGGGAGTACCGCGAATGCGTGAGAAGTAGAGGATGGGAACGGATAGTAGTCGGTGGTGCCCTGCATGGGCTTCCTTTACCGAAGGCAGTCACCTCAGGGGTGGTTAGCAATTCCACTTTAATCAAAACCGCGGCCGGAGCGGATCCGGAAGTTCTTACAATGGAGGAGCCCCAACACTCTGGGAGAGAGAGAGTCTCCTTATCTATGTACGGAGTGCGTGGGAGACCAGCCTTTACGCGCGGCATACGGTCTGATGCACAATGCAGGCCCGACCACTCGGAATGGTCAAGCAGGGAGTGAGGTTCGTCTTGGCCCCTCAGGGTTCATCTTGAGAATCAAAACGTCCGGTAAAGCACGAGCCAGGTACGGACGCTAAAGATCCTCATTGTCCTTTTACGGACGACCGAGTATTTGGGAACGTATGTAAAAACTTATGAGGCTATCACGAATGCATAGAACTAAGGGGATCCTTCCAACATCCAACTTCTCCAATCCTTTCCTCTTCATTCTTCACATTCTTCACATCAATTCGAATTACGTCTCCAATACCCCTCTACAACAACCTTTAAATCCCATTTACTAAAAAATAATTCCTCCAAAATTTATTAGATTTTACGAAAAAACACTCCAATCACCCCAATAGTCTCACCCAATCATGCCCAATGGATTGGTATCAGCCCATGGAATCTAACTTCGGCTGGGGTAGCGTTATGACCGAGGCCTGATCATCAAAACACCGGGGCTGATGATCACAGATTCGATGCATGTGCAGAATTTATCTTGTAGTAAATGAATAGCTTTTTCCGTTTAAAGGAACGGCAAGTGTATCGACACAAAATCCAAACGGTAGATAAAATTGGTTAAATTTTCCGTACAATTACTGCAATATTTGGGTTGGATGTTTGTTTTTAATTAATTTTTGAATGCCATATTTTTACTAATCAACTACATTAGTAATTAGATACATTCCTGACATATTTTTATATAATTTTATAACTTGAATTTAAAACGAGTCGAGAAAAATAATCAAATTAGACATTTGGGTTCGAAAATATATTTACACATTAAAGTGTTACTGACACTGAATAGATGTCCAAATTTATCCACGAGTGCGATGTACCGTGAATCATGCCAAAATACAATCGTACAAGGGCAATATCTAAATTTAGAGCGAGAGCTGTTGGAATTTTTTACAAATTTTTTTTTTCTGTTCCGAGGTTTTTAACTCGAGAGGACACACCATCTAAGGAATAAATATCAACGGTTTGTTAAATCATATGATGAATGCGTGTAAACTGCACAGTGTTCAGTATGATCGACACGGCGAGAATACGAGAACCGTACTGATTTTAGGCGATAACTGAGAAAAAAGCAACACGTTTTTGCAACTAAAGGCGTAACGTTCGTTTATCTTTCTGTTTACACGAATTAACATTATCTCACCGTTAACCTCATCTAGATTTTATAAAGTGATTAATCATGATTTCAATCGATTTTTTCAAGTTCAATCTGCGTATAAAGTTTGGGGAGGAAAAAAAACGTCTGCAGGAAAGAGTTTAACTCGGATTTAGATAACTGTTAAACCGTTAATAATAATGATGCAATTTTAACACACCCACTGGACCTTGGTCTTTCAGACTAATTCTTCCGACTGTTTGGAGATATCTAATGTTCACCAGATATGTATAAAAGGGTGAGAAAAATTTTCAAACAGCTAAAAAATTTTCCGAATGCAGACTTTCCACACTTGCTAGCTTACATAATTCTTTTGTTGTTTATTTATTCGTTAATTTATAAATAGCGTTCATTTATCTTACTTTTGATAAATATTACTATCGGGTTTTCTATCTGTTTGTAAGTGATTAATTATTCTTTGAACCGATTGTTAGAATGTGATTACACCATTAACCATTTGGGAGAAACTTGGCATAATTAAAAAAGCTCAAGTGGTAGAGCAGCGGCGTATCTAGCCGAAGAGCGTGGGTTCGAATCCCGCTCGTGACACTGACTTTTTTATCTCAACTAAAAACCTTAATTAATTGATAGATATTAATTGGTAAAGCGGACCACAAAAACTAATGAATATAATTAAAAAAATTTAGTAATAAAAAAGAGTTATAAGCTAAATTTTCTAAGCGTTTTGACATTTATAGAATAAAAGGACAATAATTACCAAATCATAACATTATTGAGCTGAATTCGCCGCCTTCTGAGTATGGATTTTACAAGTCTTACAAAAAAGTTGGAATTTTCCCTAAACTACCCCAGAACATATCCCACAGCAGGTATGTTGCTACGGGTATGGCAGCAGGTTTGCTATTAACATAAACAATGGATATTTAATGTTATACTATTTGAGGCAGATTTGTAAAATATAAATTTATAAATTGAATTGAATTTTTAATACCGGAAAATGTTTTTTGTATGCTTATTACATGTTACATTACGTATTATTTTGCCTGATTATAATTACTTACTAGGTAAATTATTTAATAAGATTATTTGGAAATCGTGAGGTAGGTGCGGTCTGGTGTGCGTAGGTGTTAGAAAAACATTTTCTTTATGTCAACGTTTCGATCTTTATTGAGATCATCTTCAGAGCTCAAAGTGTTTATTTTCCGTGTAGATGTGTCATTCTTGTGTGACGTGTTGAGAGTGCCCCCTTATTTAACAAGATTGTAAAGAGTTTTTTCAGGGTTTGATGAAATGGTAGAAGGTGAGAAATAAAGTATACCATTTTCTTAATATTAATTTTCAAAATAACAAATATTCACTTTTTCCTCATTTAATACATTTAATAGGGATGAATTAGTTAAAACCTACTCATTTTTTAACAACTTTACTATATTTTAAAAATTGTACAGCTTTGGATGCGCTAACGTTAGATGAAGTCACAACAAGCAAACCCTAATAATCAGACGAGATCAGCCTACAAAGCTTTACACGGTTACAAAAAAAAAGACGAAAATGGGATTTTTTTGTTGTAAAATTTGAGTTTAAAATTGATAAAACTACACGTTTTTCGGTGTTTTAGAAATCTTCTTTGCAATAATGAAAAAATGCTTTATTTGCAGTTTTTTAAATATTTTAATGTAATATTACGGAATATTACACGTTTTTTGTATTGAAGAAACTTGAATTTACCTTTAAGTTGTTTGTAGGAGTTGACAAGAGAAAGGTGAAAAATATTGTGAACGCAAATACTTAGAACTTATTAAGTATGCGCATTTTATTATCGGCGGGAGCTGTATGTAATTATCATGGAATGAAGGAAGTATGTCAAATAAACATATAAACGATCAGGATGTGCAGTTTATGTGGCTATTGACTGTATAATCAAAAAATTGTTGATTTATCCTAACAGAGGAAAAACGCGCTAATTTCAAATATGAGACGTCAAATGGACCCTTTTCACATATTAATATGTAAAATGCGTCTTACCTGTCTCGAGTCCAGAGGATGAAATGCAAATCTCTTCGTTTAAACCGCGAGTCTCACGTGTTCACCCGCGGCGAGTCGGAATGAGAATGACAACGAGCGAGAGTGGACGGACGGCTCGAGAATGGACGCGATTACGCGAAGTGAGGGGCCACTTGAGATATTCAACCAGTTGGACAATCGCCGACCTGGACTCCAAACGGCGCATTCCTTCCTTCTCCGACCATTGCATATCGTAATTTTTGATCAACGAAATTTTTGAAAATAAAATATAAAGAAAGAATATGTTATAATTCGTCTTTAAAGAATTTCTCCCTTGAGTGAAAGTAGTTGGAGAGAGTTGGCAATGAGGTCTGCAGGGTAAACTTCATTGCACGTCTTCAATATTTAAAGTCATACACAAGCTAATGAGTTATAAGAAATGATTACTTACTGAAGTGCATTGTTCTTTAATGAACAACGAAAAATATGTCGTTCAAAAAAGATGGCAAAGATCTTAGCCTTATTAATAAACTAAAAGTACTACATTGTTCTACAATTAATATTTCATTTAAGCAAGAATTCCATGCAGATTTTAAAATGGCCATATCCACTCCATATCAATTACTATATAACTTTTACATTAAAGGGTTACATCTCATGGTAAAATATTGGTATGAAAATTAATATATTCGTTTTTTGAAGTCGTGAAGAGTGGTCAGGAATAAAGTATTTTATTTTTATTAATATAAGACCACATCTGTAGATTATTATGTAAATATTTTTACCTTTTTTTATTTTCCTAAAAAGGATTTTCTTTAAAATAGGGTTAGTCCAAGAGACAAGTAGTTTTTATACTGATTTTTTTATCTATATTTCGGGCTGTTTTTTTTCTTTTTCTGCCCATCATCAGGAAACCCTAGCAGTCTCGAATGTTATCCCATTGCTTTTTTTCTGAAAGGAAGCTATTCAATTGTCTCTCCCGAAAGGGCATTATACAAAGAAAATGAAAGTGAAAACTTAAAATGCCCTCTGCCCAGGCCAACAGGCCAGAGAAAAGTGCCCTTCTTCACTTTCATTTTCTTTGTATAATGCCTTTGAAGAGAAACAGCTTTCCTTATGGAAAAAACGCAATGGACAGGCGAGACTGCAAGGTCTTTCTGATGTGCAAAAAAAGAAAAAACCACCCACAACGTAAATTAAAAAAAAGTGAACTAAATTAACCAGTACAAAAACCACTTGTCTCTTGGACTAACCTTATTTTAAAGAAAATCCTTTTTAGGAAAATAAAATAAGTGAACATATATACATAAGAAAATATTTTAGAAAAACACCTTTTTCATTTTTTTGCCAATGTTCGACCTTTTTCTTCAGGGCCTAGGTGAACTAAAAAATATAATACATTGATTGGAAAAAATACAATACAGATATTTTTTTACTCTTCCTTTAGGTCATACTAATTTTCTTTTTATTGATATCAATTTCAGGGGCATCAGCCTCCCCTCATTAGGGTCATTTTCTTTTGGAAACGCATAACCTTAGATTTGTCTAGTTCCTGAAAATAACTAAGAAATATGATACGGATAAATTTTGAACAAAGTATTTCGTACTCACATAAATGATATATGAAATACTATACAACTTGGTTCAGAATTTATATATACATCTGTATTGTATTTTTCTCCAGTCAACATGTATTTTGTAATTCACCCTTGGCCCTGAAGATAACCCAAATAAAGGTCGAAACATCGGCAAAAAAAAAAAAAAAAAAAAAAAAAGTGTTTTTCTTAAATACTTTACTCCTGACTCCTCATGACTTCAACAAATTATAACAACTGGTCACTAAAAAACATACATTAATATTTTATTTAAAGGAAGATTCCATGCAGAATTTAAACTAATGACTAGTATACATTTCATCTTTATTTTTCAATTATTAATTAAATTTGATATTAAAGGGTGATGAACTCATCTTCATCAGTATATTAGCATTACACCATTAGGCTAAATATCACTAAATATTTATTATTAAAGAGAGCCCTGTCACAAAACAAGATGTAGTGGATTTACTTTTTAAAGAAGTTGGGTTATCAAATGTAGTTTTAGTGGTCCATTGTGTATGTAGCTGGTTGAGGAAGTAAAAAAAAATAACAATAAGATATTAGCTAAAGATTGCTGATCTATAACTATAATAACAACTACTATACAAAAAATATATGAATACAAAAGTAAGAGATTATTAATTTTCTTACTTACAATTACCTTTCAGGCATCCTTTTCAGCCATGCGGTCACTTAAGTTTTTTTTACCTTTCCTTTCTTCTGCAGGGCACCTTGTTGCATCAGCCCATAGTTTTATGTACAACTTTGACATGAACTGTATTGTTTGCTGGTTGTCATAACTTGAAATTTTATGCTTTTTAGGAATGCTGAAGATGAGCTTTATAGCCTGAAATATCTAACTCTTAAATAAATTAAACTATCATAGAATACCTGGTTTCTTTCAACCTTAATATTATATTACAATTAATTAAGGTTTTTAGTTGAGATAAAAAAGTCAATGGCACGAGCGGGATTCGAACGGGGTTGAGTTGGGAAGTTGGTGTCCGAGTGGATCAAGGTCATGATAGCTCAGGTGGTACAGCAGCGGCATATCTAGCCGAAGATCGTGGGTTCGAATCCCGCTCGTGCCATTGACTTTTTTATCTCAACTAAAAACCTTAATTAATTGGAATATATTAATTGGTCAAGCGGACCACGAAATTAGTGAACTTAATATTATATCTCACCATAGACTCAGTTATATTAATAAGAAATTGCTATTTTACTGATCAAACTTGCTGAAAAGGTGGTAATGGATGGTCCAATTTAAAATTATTTACTGGACGTTTTCAAGCTAATATGCACTTACTTTTTACAGTACATTGTTCTTTAAAAACATTGCGGTTGAGATGGGAGGTTGGTGTCCGAGTGAATCGAGGTCACGATAGCTCAAGTGGTAGAGCAGCGGCGTATCAAGCCGAAGATCGTGGGTTCGAATCCCGCTCGTGCCATCGACTTTTTTATCTCAACTAAAAACCTTAATTAATTGATCAAGCAGACCACGAAATTAGTGAATTTAAAAACAACTGAGAAAGGTGTAGTTCAACAGACATGATGACAATCATAGCCTTATTAATAAACTAAAGGTACAACATTGATATGCAAATTAATACTTGATTTAAACAAAAATTCTATACAGATTGTAATGACAAGATCCCATCCATATGATTTTAAATTATTAATTAAATGGTGATGTACTCATTTTTATCAGTAAATTAACGATATGACATTGATCATGTATTATATGCTCAAACTAATAATCACTTACTTATTGAAGTGCATTGTTCTTTAATGACGTTCGAGGAAAATATTCAAGATAAAAAAGTAATTAAAAAATGCAGAGAAGCTTGTATCGAGAGCGTTGTCAATAAGTGGCTCTCGAAGGATCTGAATCATAGAAGAGTGATTGATTATCTTCACTTGACTAATAATATGCCATGTGAGGTTGACACTCAGACACTTACTTTTTGGCCAAAGCTTAAATTTTCTGGCATGTAGAGAATGATTTCTTGCTCTCACTTAATTGATGGGTGTCATTCCTTGGTTCCATATAGAGTGTGCAGGAATACCACCTCGTACATGAGAATTACTCTTGATACATGAAAGCCTGCTGGTTTGAACTTTTGAGCTTACAAAGGGCAACAAAGTTTTTAGATTGCAATTCTACTCTCAAAATATCGGACATATGTCCACAACTTCAAGTGAATAAGCCCTGCTTTCGCCAATTTTTTTTCTGTAAGTTGAAATATTCCTTTTTTTAATATTTTTATTTTACCATTCTGCTTCTACACATCAACTAAACTAATTTGAAATTTTTTAGAGATATGTTTTAGCAATAGGTTTATGTGTTGAGTGTAGTGTCTCATTGCCTGATAAGCGGAGGGATTTAAGAGCCAAAGTTGGGTGTAAATTACCAGCCCAAACTGCCTATCAGATGTAATATTCAAAAAAAAAAAAAAACTTTATGCTCTTAAATCCTGGCACTTTTTAAAATATTATTTTACAGCTGCTGCCAAGTTGACAATGTGCCAAATAAAAAAATATTTTAAAGGGTTGTAAAGAAACCCTTCCCTGAAGAAGATGCTGGACGAATGTAAAGAAAGTTATTTAGTGAAAAGTGATACTAGGAGGAAAACAAAGAGGTACTTCATAAAAAGAATAAAAGTAAATAAAACGGAGAAAGCAAAATGACAGAAGAAAGCTTGGAGGTTGAAAAGAAATGTATAAGTATCAATAAATCCTTTTTATTCTTGTTAAGAGTATATTCTATGATAGCTGAAAACCTTTTAATTTTTTTATATTTTTTATATATATATAAAAAAAATGAGTATAAAATAAATGAACCGAATAATTAACTGAGTGTGTTCACACATCAACATGTGTTCGCTTACTGATCAACACCCACCATCAACTTTAGTATTTAATGAGTTCAATGTCTGATATTTATGTTTAAATTATGCAATCGATGAAGATAATTACTTCTGAAATGAAAAATTCTATGTAGAAATTTTATACTAATCATGTTTTTACCAATCTAAAACCATTTTTTATTTATTTCCAAATTACTTTTCTTAAAATTTAGATACATTATATTTTTTTATAACTTAGGTCAAGTTGAGTAAAAAATTTAGGTGGTACCTGGTTGAAGGATTTGGAGAAAATGAAGAAGAGGTGTAGAAAAAATTTATCACTAAGGGTAAATATAAATGTTTGGTTTCATAAGGCAGAATATATTCTTTGACATGGCGCTAGCAATACAAATTATACTAAAACTATTTTACAATTTGTTTAGAATCTTTTCTCAATACTAGACAGAAATACAGTCACTATATTCTCTGAAGATAAATGTATAAAAATTATTTCCTTGGTTTTATTTGATTAATAATTTGTGTGTACTTGAAGGTTTGCTGTTTTTTAATAACATAATTGTGAAATTTTAGTGCTTTATTGCTATAAAATATGGACTACACTAAGGATCATCTAATGATTCAGTCGAAACATTCTATGATTCAGCTTGGGTTCAGTTTAATTTGTCTTCTGACAAACCATCTTGTACACACATCATAAAAGCATTTAATTTTCTCTAATATATGAAAAGTACAATGTTTAAGCCAAGGTTTGAATCAAGCTGTGACCACGTTTAAAAACTTATAAGTATTTATTTTTTCTTTGATTAATTTTCCATGTTCTTATGTGCTTTAGAGCAAATTTTTTGATTTTGGACGAACATTTGTTTTGGTTTCTTGGCATTTCCAAAAGGACGGAAATATAAAAGAATAAATACGTTAATTTTTTTTTACTCTTGACTGAACATTAGGAATATTTTTAACATATAAAATTTTTACTACTAGTAATAATTTATTCATTTTTAAATATAATTTATATACAAAATGAAAAAAAATCACTTTATTTATTGTTGTTTTGCAATGTATTCAATATATTTATTCAGTCATAATAGAAGACTAGAAATTGAAATCATGTTTTGATGCTATTATTGCTTGTATGCAGTTAAGTTTTTTTGATACCAAGCATATCTAAACGTTCCCTTTAATAACTTTAAAAGCTCTTAATTTACAGTTTTTAATTTTTTTTTTGTATATAAGGTGTTCTACATATAGTAAAAGCAATCTAAATGTGGAAGCGAGTTTTTAAATTTTGGCAATTTTTGAAATAAATTTATCAATTTTCTGTTTTATGATTTTTCTTGTCATTGATGTCACTATTCAAAGCTGTAATTTAATTTGTTTTAGCTGTTTCGTTGTTTCTGTTAATATAATTGATGCTCCAATCTTCATAAAACTGCTAAGTTCTTGGTTTGATTTGAATTTCCCAAACTAATCCATATTTGTTTTGTTTATTTGGCATACGTTTTATCTGCCAAACCACTTATTAAACTCTTCGGTTAGATCATAATTTTTGAAAAATTCTTCTAACACCGTGTTATCTTTGTACAGGTATAAGCACACCATTGAACATAGTGCTGCCATAATCATCCCCAGCCAGAAAATATTCGAGCGTATAAATAATGCCTTAAATCGTCGAAATATTGCACTTATTCCTCCTGTTGTGGAGCTGCTATCTAAGCATATCATCATCCTGGAGCTTGACTGGGCTTAAATTTTGGTAAAGGTGAAGACTCAGATGTCTGTGTTCCTGTAAATTAGATAAAAAGTTATTGCCATGGATTAAACAAGAAAGTGTAACAATTATTCACCACGTATTCCTGGCCAGTGTCTGTATCAGAGTCTTCATGAGATCCTCCTGTGAAATCTTCTTCCTCCACTTCAACATCACTATCTTTGACTTCTTCCGAATCACTATTAAAAACGCAAAATCTTTTAGAGTTAAATTGTGACTTTGATTAAAAATAATATATATATTTTATTGTTATTACTCACATTACCCATAAATACATCTAATTTTAAAATCCATATTGAAGTTTTTTCTTGTTAATAAATTTACAAGTGCAGCAATAATTTTATAATAGTAGATAATTCTATAGTATATATCAAGTATATGGAAATTAGTAATAAACACAATAATAAATCTGTTCACATATTATAATTTAAACCGCAAAACCATACAAGGATGAACATGATTTTTGAAATGATTCATCCTTGTTTGTAAAGAATACATTAAGCTGAAGCTTGTTTACCTTCATGCACACTGCATTTCCAAACAGCTAAAGTGGTGCAAAGAAAAGACGAAAAGAAGTTGAATAAAATCCGCATGCAGTTGTTAAATTGTAAATAAAATAAAATATATAGAATGCAACCGTTGACTTTTTCATCTCCTTTATGAATTTTTATTTATTTTGATATAATTTTTATGTCAAATATATTAATTAAAATGTAATAAAAATTGATAATTCTTATCAGGGAGTTCCATTTATAAGCCAGAAGGAATCACATAAGATAAAAAATTTATTCATTTTAGGAGGAAGTCTACTATCAAGACAACCATCCATTAGATGAAGCATGAAGCATGAATAAATTTATTTTTACATAGAAAAATTGACCTTTTAAAATAATTAAAATTACTTAAGGGATTTTAAAACAAAGTCGGTGATAATTGAAAGTGTATAATATGTATATTTTTTTTTAATTATAAGAGGTTTTACATGGATTGTTCAAAAGATTTGTCTTTTATAAAGTATTTTTTTAGGTTATGAACTTTTCCATGTGGTTTTTGTGGACAAATATTTTCCTTTTTTATATGGATGTTCGGTATTTTTTCCTGTCATCAGCATCATACTCACATTTTATAGAAATAGATATTTCCTATGGAAAAATAGAAAACCTAACAGGTTATATTCTTTCCTTCTATCAGACATGTGGCCTGGATCAAATGTCATGCACACTTTTATTTTTCAATAGGAAATATTGATGTATTAATTTGATTTTAAAAAAGTTTATAAACTAAAAAATATAATTGTTTAAAGAATTTTTAATAAATTTCCAAGGATATCGAATCCTTTTTTCCAGGAAGATGAGAAAGCACATTTTTAAATCATACTGACTTTATTTAAAATTAAACCATTGTAAAAGTAGTTTTCATGAATCCGAAATTGAATAAAAACAATAATAAAATATCTAGCTCTGTGGTTAGGGCTATGAAAGCATCCTCAATCATGCAGAACATCTTAAACGCCTAAAAAATAATTATTTACAGTATTTAAAGGCATGCGCTGGGGTAGCAGTTATTATAAATAGGCAGGCTAAATGTGTAGTGTATCTATGATTGTTGAATGGACTATTTGTAAGTTGAAAGCCCTATGGACTGACTATCTGACTATTCCCTTCTAGATCTATTATTGTCCTTATTTAAGCATAATTTTTTCTTGTTAATTTTGTTAACTATTGTTTTTCTAAATATATGAATNTATATATAAAACCCAGCTTACTCTTCAATATAGCTCCTAAATTCTAAGATCCACTCATGAATAAGACAAATAGAAAATGTTATGTAAAATCCTTTACCTTTGCTTTGAGGGACAAGGGCTTGTAACAAAGTGGTTTTGTACGTTGTTCAAAGTGACTTTAATTTATTTAAAAAAGTAAACTTCATAATGTCATGAACATTAAACATTAAAAATTGCACAGGTTTTTTCTTTCTTTTGTAACAACTTTATTATTTTCACAAAATATAAAACAGCTTCGCTAATCACCTTTAATACACACACAATATATTTAACTATCTCACATAAATATATAACATTTTATTTTAACATCTAACAACAATTATAACTTTAATGATTGATGCTAGGTTATCTTTTTAAAATATATTATTTTCTTAAAATATATAATCTGATATATCCTAAACATTTTTTTTTATATTTCACTTTTAAGACATCTCTGATAATAAAGTGCACTAGGTTAACTATTTTTTCTTTACTGAGCTTACAAGAATGATGCCCATTCTTATTGCACTCTGTTTAAGGATAAAGTCAAAGATTTTTTTTCTTTATTTTGGTACTATTTTGTTTGGTGCTTCATAAAACATAGATATGTATTAGATTGTTTAAATTATTACTTTTGTAAGTGGAAGTGGTCTTAGGTTTGTTTAGAAAAGATGTTTCTACCATGCATTTAAAGAAGGTGAAATCTCAAGAAAAAGAGAGAGAGCAGTTGAATTGAGTTGATAATTTTGTTACAATTTTGTATACCAATATTTTAAATAAAAAGTGTATGTTATTAAAGAAATCTCAGGTGTTTTTGTTTTGTTTTTAATTTTAAAGGACTATTAAAATTTTACAAGAACACGAAATGGAATCTTTTAAACTGAGCATTTGGCACAATATGTTGTGTTTGGCATGTCAAATCATGTGTATAATTTCTTATATCAAAAAAATAAAATTGTAAGGAAAAAAGAGAACGTTCAGACTTTTAAATTATACCCACTTATTACGCCTTTTTTTAAAAAATGGGTTGTCATACGACATGAAATTTAGCAACAGCCACCTAAAATCTCACTTCTATTCCTTCACCTGAGATCCCTACAAAATAGAATGAATCATAATTTTCTGCAAATTAAAAGTTTTCTACAGATTGAAAAAAAGTTTTTTGAAGGGTTATTTAAATACTGTCATACACATTATTTATGACTGAAATTTATTTTGCTGTTCTTATTTGTCGGGTAATTGGACGTTTTCATGTAAGAATGGATTTTCTTCATCCTTTACACCAACTTCAGGGGGTGAATGTGTTTAATTTCATTGCTTTGGCAGAACTATTTGAATTATATCTATTGTAGTTTATGTAAAAATGCATTGTTTCCAACGATATTTTTTGTACACAGTGGTGTAATTTTAACAGATTGTTGTGATTGGCCAACTGTTTATTTTAATTTTTAAGCCATAATCTAATATATTTGGAAAAATTCTAACAATTGATATGTCTTTGTTATAAATAATAGCAATTTAAAGTCATCTATTATTAAGAAATGACCAGTTTTTTGTTTTATATCAATAAAAAAAATATCATTACTTTCATATTCTATTAGTTAATCAATGGCCTGTATGATTTATAATTTAGCAAAAGCACCTTAGCATTCCGCTTATGGTACAAAATTAATTTGTTGACATTTTGAACATCTTTGACCAAATCCCTGTCATTTGAAAACAAATGGGAAAAAATGATTTTTGGGGGGATTTTTTTGTGACAAGAATAGCTCTTTAAGCTGGGAATTAATTTAATCAAACTCTTGTTTCCCATTGAAACTTAGAAGCTCCCAGATGTGATATATCATCGAACATGAGGGGTCCGTCGGCACATCTGAAAGCAAATAAGAAAACAAATAGTTCCGGTTACTAAATATCCCTACTTCCAGCATAACCGCGCACATATCCCCAACCGGATGTGACTAATCCGGTACAATCGATAGATGAGACCATGTTAAATGTCTGACAAAATGTATATTTGTGTGTTTGCCAACTGCCAAAGCATAGGTGAATGTTGGTGGAAATGCCCTACTCAGTTGTGAATCTTCAACAATTAAGAAATTAAAGGGTTTTGCAAAGGAGTATTGATAGACGAATACAAGCAGTCTTCAGCACCCAAAAGTGAAAGCTAGGTTAATCACGCCACAAACAGACGTCACACCCGGTTGATCGGCAGTGGCAGAGCTAAAAAGCTGTTTCAAATCACACTGTTTTAGTGTGTCAAAAAACAAAAGTAATAAAATAAAACCAACAAACATAAGAAGAAAACAGGTGGAAGATATTAAAAAAAAATATATATGTATATGGGAAATATTCAAAATTAAAGTTATTTCGTAACTTAATAAAATAATTGGTAGTTAATAGGATATAATAGAATTAGGTAAATAGCAGAATTATGTGGAAAATCCAGTGCGTGTTGAAAGTTAAGGAAGAGTAGCTAATTTTACCAAGCGATATAATATTACCTATTAGAAATTGTTACTGACCTGTGCTCTCGGTGTGATGTTGTTGGAGGTGGTGTATTTGCTTCCATAGAAGTTGACTGAGATCTTCTTCCCCTGGAAAATTTTAAAATTTTAATTGTTGATTCTCATTCATAATTAATATTAAGTTATTTTTAATATCCTGTATTATCATGCAGACTTCTTAAAATATAATTTTAATTATTAAAGCATGTTCAGACAAATTATTAAATATGTTTTTAAATAGAAATTCTTTCCAACTAATCTTTTCATAATTGGAGAATAGAGAAGTCAGGTAGATTGCAATGCCTATCAAAAATCAAAGACCTTTTGATCATAATTAATTTATTTCATAAATTTTCTCATACTTAAAATGAGGACAGAACATCTACTAAGTACCAAGAAATGGAGGGAGGAATCAAAAGCACTTTAGCAAAGATGAATGCTAAATATCCAACTTTTACCAGATCGTAAGAAGTTGATCTCTGACAGTAACATTTCCCTGTAATGCCAAGCCAGAAAATAGTTGGAACCATTTATGGAACCAACATAAATATCCAATGACAGAGTTCATATTTTAAAATTATTGTGTGAAACTCAGACAAGATTAGGCACTGACATACAAAATAAAATGTGTCGTCTCTCATTCCATGTTGCATAATGAATATACATCAATGTTTGGGCTGTTGTATGGCTTGTGGTTTAAGCTTGAAAAACTCTCCTCTGGGTTTAAATACCCAACAAATTGTAGAGATAGTAAGAAGAATAGTCAGCAATTCATGGATATTGGAGGTTACTCCAGAAAGTATGGTTCATGTCACATCTCAGAGAGATTATCGTTTTATTGTTTCTAATGTCCTCTGTAATGGACATTCTACTGCTGTTGGAGATCAATCTACAACTTCAACATGTTAGGAATGTTAACGTCATTTTACGCATTGTAAGGCACTTTCAGAAGCTGGACCATGTGTGAGAAGGCCTGCCGATGGTTCAGAACTTCTGACAAGGCTTGATAGTTTCGCTAGATATCACATCAATTGGTCTGAGCAATATTGGACAACAGCAATCTTGTTTACAGATGAGTCAAGGCTTTGTTTGAAGTCTTTTGACGGTTGAGAGAGGGAAGTGGTGTTACGATTTGGGCAGGTTTTTCTTCATTGTGGGTTCTCTAATAGAAGAACTTGTGCCTTGTATGCCACTAATTGGAGATGGTTTTATTTTTATGCATGACAGTTCAAGGCCACACACTGCTAAGATTGTTGGTGGCTACTAGAATGGCTTCAATTCAATGTGGAGTAGCCAGCATATCGTCTCGACTTAACCCCTATCAAACAAACACCTTTGGGATGAGCTGTCAAAGTCTCAAAATGTCACCCAATAATGCCAGAGAATTTGCAGGAATTAAGAATGGCTCTTTTGGAGGAGTATGAAAACATTCCACAGTACAACATTCATAAGCTCATAACATCAAGAGATGTATTTTTTGGCCAAGCATCCCTTTGAAAATAGCTCCATGTAACATACTCCAACAATGACAAATTAAATTTTAATAAATTCAATCAATAATTATACAGTAAGAATAGACAAAGTGGCATGGAAATAATGGTACTCTTTGGTAGTGGAATTTAATTACCAGTAATTTATGTAAATCCATTGATTTTTATAACTTTATAAATCCATTTTATGTTACATACTGTTGGGATTATCATCAATACTACAAGTGTTTGGTTGTATTCATGTTGTTTTGCCTTTACAAATACATTAAAACCAGATGGTCAATTAATCATGAAAACTACAATTAATTAAAAAATAAAGTGTTATTATTATTTTTTAAATATTATCATTATACCTAACTTAACTATATATCATGTAAAAATAATCTGTCTTCATCATCTGTTTGTCAATAGAACTTGAATAAAGGTGCGAATTAAGACAAAATTACTCTCATGAAATTTTTTTGTGGGTAAAAACTGTAAATTATTATCGGTTAATGTTTACAGGTCTTATAATTGTGGACAGTCTATTCGAAGTATAAAAAAGACCACCGTTTGTTGTATCAAAATTGAAATTCTTACTTTTACAAAAGTACCTTTTAGTTTTTTGGTGTTTCTTCACATCATTAAGAAGGGCGAGGGTTGATGGTGTTAGGCGTGCGTGGTACACCTGCTGGAACAGAGGAATACATGTAGTACTCATACAAGAAGTATCTTGTTGAGGATGGACAATTTTGTCTGACCGGCAATGAAGTGGCTCTCATTTCCCTGAGATCGATATTCCTGAAAAAATCGGACAGTAGAAGCTCCTCGATGGACGGAAACCTTTCTTTAGGATTGTTGAAGATGAATTCTAACACGTCAACCACCTGTGGGTAAGTAGAAATATCCAAGAGATTCGCCGCAGTCGGGACAGCGACAGTCAATTCATACCCAGCGCACATCTCAAACAAAACATGCCCTGAAAAAAATTCAATGATTCATATACTGCTATATAGAAACTATTGATTTTTTTAAAGTTAAAAATGGGTTAATACCGAAGCAGATGACATCTATCACGGTCGGGTCATGCCTGAACCTTTTAGAAATTATTGGATAAATCCTAGAAGTGAAGCCAAACAAAACATTTTCCAAACCGCTCAGTCTGAAATAAAATCAAAACCAAATACTAATAGGATTTTTTTTCTATAATAAAATAATTTTACAACAAACTAAGAAACCGAACACAAATTATAAGAACAACTAACAAATAATACTTTGTTTAATACGTAGTGATAGCTTAGTTTTATTATTATAGAATGAAAAATTATGGTACAAGGTTTATCATTGTATGGATAAATAATATATTAAACTTGAAGTCTATGAAGGAGCGAAAGCTAACAAACCAGTCCAGTTGCAATCATTAATGGGTTGGAATTATTCACTGGTCAATTTTGAAAATGAGACTGACTCAAGGTAGAATTGTTCATTATATGATAGTTGCCAATCAGTTCAATCAATATGATAGTTGTTTATCAGACTAAAAGACCAGCCTCTGACTTCCCACTGATTTACACTTTTGATGAAAATTGCCAATAACACCTGATGATGAAAGTTTATATATAATGACTGAGAAAAACAAAATTATTTGCAAGGAAAAATAGTGTCTGTTATGAATGATATTTAAAAAAAAAATGGTTACTACATGTGTGATGGACTATAAATTATTATACACCCAAAGAAGGAAAAAAGGACAAATCTAATTATTTGTTTATTTGCGAAAATAACTAGGTAAAAAAATTAATAGTTGACTTAAAACGAAAACACATCATTAGCATCAGTAGTAACTAGTTTTTTTAACCTTTATTGTGTTACTACTCCTTTTACACCCTTTTAGGTTAAAAACAGATAAAATCAGTTTAATTTCATCCTTTAAAGAGCCAACTTGTTAAGTGAGTTATTTTTTATTTGTTTCTTTGGATAAAACGATGAATTTGAGTTAAAAATGTATTTAAAAATTTTTCTTAAAACTATGATTTTAAATCAAGAGTATCTCGCCCAGATTCTTTGGTCATGTAGCGCCTGATAAAAAGTCCGAGTCCTGGGTTGTGCCATGCTCTACCATCGACGATGGTTTAGGGCCATCAGAAGTCTCAATTGAAGAGATTGAAGAGAAGGTAGTGGACGGCTACTACAGAACCATCATTTATCGGCTTCCTTGGTAGGAAGTCTACTCCAAATGATCTGTAATGTAAGGTTGAGCTCTAACTCTAAAACAGTCATCAGAAGACTTTGTGGGAATAGCCTAGTCTCTTAATGACCCAAATCAGGTTCTTTACTACTGGAGAGGCATGGCGAATATTCGCAAATCAGTCCATGTGCCATGAGTCTCAGCTTTTTCAATGACAGTCAGTTATGGTATGGGGTGGAATCAACGTCCATGCCTGTACTGAACTGATTATCAAACAAAATGGATCATTGCACTAAGATACATTGAGGAAGTTGTTTGGAAGCTGTGGTCCCATTCACTCCATTTATTAGGGACAAATTCGTATTAATGCACAAAAAAGCATGATCTTGAGTGGTCCACCCGTTATTTGAAGAATGTAGGGATTACCACAATAAATTGACTAGAAAGTTCTCCTGGCATGAATCCTATAGAACACTTATTGGACATGATAAAAGAGACATGATAGACATCGTTTGCCGCCTCCAGCAATAGCTTCAAACTGTTTTTGTTGAAGAATGGGCTTCTATTTCACAAGACGTAATTCGGTTACTTATTTAATCAATGTTTAGGATACTTAAGATCTTAATAAGCAGTATTAAGAGTAAAACTAGGTAATAAATTATTAGTTAAATTTTAATCTATCACTAAATGATTTTCCAGTGTTTTGGTGAATTTTCTTTTAAATTATCATAATTAAATAATTGTTATTAAAACTCTTGAATTTCTGGTCTCAATTAATTTGGTTGACATTAAAATACATATGCTTTAATTAATATAGTGATAAAAATACATGTAGTTTGGAATAAACAGCAAAAATTGAGTGTCCGGTTTTTTGTCTTTGAGTGTATTTTATACATAATTGATTTTTCAAAAAGCTACTTGTATTGATCAGTTGGAAGCTATTGAAATAAACCTGGAGTGGGGTGAATAAATATTTTGGATAATAAAAAGTTTAGTTAGGTATATATTTGGAGGAATTTTTAACATCATCCTCAGTACAATTTTGACGAACTTCAATAGACAAGTAAAACAAACAAGAGTCGTCTACGTAGGCATACTGAAATATGGCTACTGTAAATAAACAAAACGTTGAAAAAGCTTAATGGAAAAACTGGAAACAATATGAATCCAACAAAAACAAAAAAACAAAAACCAAAAACGCAGACAATCATTGTATTTTGTCCTTCAAAATGTCTATTTCACCTACTGAATAAACGGCGCTCTGCTACGCTAAACATGCACGACCGATCCGTCTTGTGGGTTTTAATTTATTCAAATGCCTTGCTATGAAGAAATATGTTCTTTGGTATTTTTTTCCTCCCTTGCTTCGCACTCGTATGTTTTCATTGAATCATGAACGGTTTTAGACTTTAAAATCGTAAAATTCACCCAGAGAGTGCAAACGATGTTCTTTGATGCAGTATCCACGAGGTTATCAATAAAAATGGCGAATTTGGCGAAAGATTCCCTTATGTTCCATTAAAGGCTGAGTCATTAAATGTCGAGGCTTGTTAAAAAAGACATCTTAACATGATTTTGTTCGAATTCGAATTCACTGTTAACGATCTCGAATTAGAAAACTTGCACGAACTCTGGGCCCATGCACAGTTGGCTGTTTTTTATACACCCAAAATGATTATAAGAATTGTTTTCTATATCCAGCCCTAAAACCCTTTAAAATGAAATAGATATGACTGCAAATTTAGCCTAAAGATGAAATTTTCCCGAAAATTTTATGTGTTCACGTTTAAATATAAGTTTGGATCAAGTTATTTATGTTATGATAATGTTATCTAAGTAGTTATGATTTTATATTGGTGGAAGATTTTAATTAGAAGTAACAAATGGGCCAGAACTTACTTAGAAGTCATTGTTTTCGAAGAGGGACACTTAAAATTATTAATCCATTTTTCCAGCCTATTATCAACAATATTTAAGGAACACTACTGAACTCGTTCAAAAAATTATTGTCCAAATCAGCCCCAATAAAAGTTTAATAAAAATCGGTGATGCTAAGTAGCCGATAATTCTGAAACGACATTACTTTTCTAGGGGAAACTTTACAGGGCTTTACAAGCTTATAAACAATAAGTGCTGGTATTGGTCTGGCCCCGCGTAAATAATTTACAACTGGAGATAAAACAATAAAACGTTTCAGTTGTTTTTATTGTTTTCATCCTTATTTTTCACTTATATTGGCCAAAATTTTAAATATTGTTGCAATAACCTGAAAGAATAAATATTCTGCTCTCCAGTACTAGTAATAACATTGGATCTAGATAAAGTACAGAGGAGTTATGAATTTTTAAATAGTACAATTGATATCGTAGCTTAAAAAAATTGCCTCTGGCTAATCGATACCAAAAATAACTATTTTTTATTACAGTCAAAATTATTATACAATGGATTTACACGAATCTGAATTGGTTTTGTCAGAAAACAATTTTTTGGCCTACTTTACTGCGTCATTTGGTTTTTACAACTTTTTAATAACTAATCCCATTTAATACAGCCCAACATATTATTTTATCATTCTATGTGAAAATACAAATCTACTGATTTATAATAACCTTGAAATACATGCAAAACGAAGACAGAAAATCATATTTTAAAACATACACTTAAATTAGTTATTTTTTGCGGCTTCTTAAGTCCATTGGGAAGAATGCTCAGATCTCTGTCTAATGTGTGGTGTTTAGTGATAGTTAATAATAAATATTTTGATTGAATCTTTCTAGCATTGTATAAATTCATTTTTTCAGATCCTACTCGTATTTGTGTAATATAAACAACGTTTAAAAATCCCAGGCCCTGAAGATGATCTCAATAAAGATCGAAACGTGGGCACGATAAAGAAAATGTTTTCTAAAACTTTCGTCAAACCAGACCATATCTCACGAACTCTGTTTAATATTTTATGATCGTCAAAAGAGTTTCATTAAAATACGTGATCCAACATCCGTAGCTCTTGTTACTTGTGCTATGTTGTCTCAATTTTTTAAAACAAAAATCTTTGTGTTAGCGCCTTTTAATTATCTTTAAAAAAATGATATTAAATTGTTATTTTTATTGTAACATGATTTCATAATGTTTCTTGCATCTGTCTTAAAAAATTGATGTGATAAAGTCATCGTTCATAAATAATTTTTAGGATTTTTACATAAAAAAAAATAAAATATTTGGTTTTGTGGTTATTAAAATTTTGTTAAAGCAAAAATATATTCTGGTTATATGAGTACTTCCAGGTTGGTTATTACAAAATACATATTAATATTAATAATTTTTCAATTAATTAATATTTATGAAAAGTGTGGTTGAGATAGAAAAGTCAGCGGCACGAGCTGGATTCGAACCCACTACCTTCGGTTAAATACGCAGCTGCTCTACCACTTGAGCTATCGTGACCTCGATCCGCTCGGACAGTAACTTCCCATCTCAACCCCACCTTTTGAATTTTCCCTCCTTTTTGCCATTCTTCAAATATCGTGTAATCTATTTGATTCTCGGCGATAAATGATATGGCAACGGAGAGCTTTAGTGAAGATATACTTCAGTTTAATTATTAAATCCATTACAGTTCGTGGTCAGATTGACCAATTAAGATTTTTTAATTAATTAATATTTATGAAAGGTATTGGTTGACATAAAAAAGTCAGCGTCATGAGCGGGATTCGAACCCACGACCTTCGGCTAAATACGCCGCTACTCTACCACTTGAGCTATCTTTTTATCTCAACCAATACCTTTCATAAATAATAATTAATTGAAAAATGTTAATTGGTCAATCGGACCACGAACTGTAATGGATTTATTATGATCCGCTCTATTCCACTGACTTAGGCAACCAAATACACACTTTCATAAAAAAGTAGTCTTTATTTAAAAAAAAAAAATCATCGATTTCAGGATGCTGCTCGCTCTTTCTCTTCAGCTGTTATGACTTAAAAGTACAAAAACTCCTCAAATATTTAAAAAAAAGTTTCATGTAACATTCAAGGCTACTGCCTCCGTCTGTGGAATAGAGCGGATCATAACAAAAAATAAATTTTAATAACAACCTATAGAATAGAACAACAACAACAATATCACCAAGGTAATATAATATAGTTTTTTTTAATTAATAACTATTTTACAAATTAAAAGAAACACTTGTTCAATGATGGTTTCATATTTTAGTAAGTTGAACGCATCGTTGGAAGAAAACAGAGAAAATACGAGCCGAGTTAATAAATATGGTCATGAATTCTATAATAGAGAGACTTGAACAAATGCTTTTGTTTTCTCCAAGGATCTACTCAGAGAAGACCCCTTTTGAAATGCAAACACGAAACCTCACCTAACGACGATATTTAAAATTTCAACAGTCGTCGTCACCAATTTACCTTGCCACTCCGTTTTGTATAATTATGTTGCCAGAATGAAGATGGGAGCACGGAGGAAAGCCTCTTTCCTTCAGAAATAACAGCGCTTCGAGTATCTGCCTACCGAGCCTCTGTACTTGAGAGATAGGGAGGCCTTCGGATTTTTCACCGTACTTGTCTCCCCAGTCTTCTTGCCAGACGCTCTGAAAAATAATAAGTAGAATATTATAGAAGAAGTGTTTCCTATCCTAAAATTAATTGCTTGTAAATTCATTATCAATGGAGTAAATTTGTATTTTTTGATATCCTAATTTATTTATTGTTATTTACACCTAGAACTTTCGTTACAATAAGTAAATTCGATAATTCATTATCTAACATGATAACTAAACATGATGGGAGAAGCCACCCACTAGTGCCACATCCTCACACTGCACACTCATACACATCAATGAAGCAAATCCCTAGGCCGTTGCCTCTCACCAGTCGTGGAGGATTTTCGTAGGGTTAGTGTGGAAAGTTGCTGGACGAGAAGGTTTGGGTGTATAGAAAAGGTATTGTGCACTTTCCGATAACGTGTTCTTACATGATCCTGGACGAATGGAATATCAAGGTCAGTGTGTATGGTTTTATTGGATATGAAGAATGGAGGATTTTTCTTAAGGTGGCCATTCACGATCACTCCAAATGGAACCGCGCCAAGCCGTACAGCTCCATTTGGAGTGACTGAAATTTGAAGGGGCATTCACGACCGCTCCACAGCCAGTCGCTCGGAACGTCAATCAGTGATTTATCTTCTGAAAATGGATGACGATCTCTTGTGCTACTCTTCTGTTTATTTACATGTTAAAAGCAAAAAATCGAAGAGGAAATGGTCAGTTTGTTATTAAGGGTTAGTTGAGATCTATGGTCGAGTAGTCAGAGTAAGAGCTTGTAACGGCGGTTCATGCCTTGTCGTTTCAGGCGAGTCTGTGGATTCGACGTCACTCTTTTATCAATGTACAGCCCCAGGTATCGTACTATCTCAGCAGTCGGTACCAGTATGCCATTCAGTCGTAAAGGAGGACAAAGTGATTTCTTAGTCCGAAAGTAACTTCATAGCTTTTGCCTTCTTTCACTTTGATTCTCCATTTGCGGTACCAGTTCAAATAGTGTGAGGTGATTTTGCAGATAGAGCATACAACGGATGGGTTGGAGTGACAAGAGAGAATAGATGTGTCGTCGGCAAATTTGTTTGGGGAAGTAGGAATGTTAAGAGTGTATATTGTAAAGAGGATTTGGCCAAGGATACTTCCTCGAGGGACCCCAGATTTTACTGAAATATAAAAAGAAAGGGATGTTCCCTGACAGCCGCGGCAATATCGGTCTGTCAGGTAGGATCGGAGGATAAGGTAAAACGTACTGGGAAGAAATTTTTCGAGTTTTCACAGCAAACCCAGGTGACGTTCCAGGTCGAAAGCCTGGGCTACGTCTAGGAAGTGCCATAGTGTCTACCGCTCGGTGCACTTGTTGCACAGTGGAGTGAAGTGAGCGGAACCCAAACTGATGGGATGGTGATTTATATTATCTATATTCAATATTCATACAAGGACAGGCTAGGAAAAGGTCACTTAGGCTCCAGAAACAATTAAATTGGAAAGGAACTAAACAATTCGGGCATACAACCATAATCAACAAAATCAGACACCATTATTAGAAATGAGGACTGATTATATGATCCCGGAAACATTCTTCACAACTTCCTACAGCCTCTACGGACTATAAAGGAGAGGAAGAACCCAGGAGAGCATAAGATACAATGATATGGTAAACAGATGGCTCCAAAACAAACGAAGGAACCGGATCAGGCGTTTTCTGCACAAGCCCAAAACATGAGCAATCAAACTCATTAGGGAAGTACACTTCGGCCTTTCAAGCAGAAATACATGCCATCAATGCTAGTGACCTGGAAAATCTTAAAAGAGGATACACTGGCAAAAAAATTCTCATAAGATCTGATAGCCAAGCAGCCATTAAAGCATTAGCATGTAAAAGAATTACATCAAAATTAGTCAGTGAATGTATCAAAAATCTCCAAAACCTGAGGAAACAACAACCTGATGATATCTTGGGTGCCAGGGCACAGGGGAATTTTGAGTAACGACAAAGCAGTCTGCAAGACCATACATAGGCCCGGAACCTATACTTGGGATAAAAACAAATATAGAACCCTCCAACGCAGAATGGATCGAAACAAAACGAAAGGAGGAGTGGATAAACTCTAGCGGTGCTAGAATTAGTAAACTTATGATGAAACAATCCTCACCGAGACTGGCAAAAGCATTGCTGCAATTGGAGAGGGCCAAACTCAGAGGAGTGGTAGGACTGCCGATCATCGGCATCTGAGAAAACATCTACACAACATGGGTATATACAGCGATGATCCCATTTGCAGATTATGAGGAGGAGGAAACAGCCACTCATATCATCTTCGAATACGAAGCAACAGCTCAATGGAGATTGAACCTAACGTACGGAAAAAACTTAGGGAATCAAATTGCAGCAGCGACAGTCAATGACCTGATACTTCTAAGAAGAACGATTGAGTCTATTGCACTGAGCTAAGGAACTAGGAAGGTACAATAAGCCAGAAGGCTGCAGTGCCTGGGGAGCGCAAACCCCGCTTCCTAGTATCCTTTTTTTACCTTACCTTATATTATCGAAATTTTAATATTGTATGAAGATTAACATTTTCACACGAATCAAAACTGAATCAATTATTATATTTGGATAAACTCGTAGTTGAAGCATTTTCTGGCATTCTCATCTACTTCCGTAATAGGAGAAGGTGGAAACGCCACGGCTTGTGAATAGAGAAGGAAGACGGAAGTTGGAACCCGATCCGAATTTGTCTTCCCAGATAGCTTTCGGTTTCTCCTCTATCATTTCCGACCCATTATTCAATTTCAGGTAACAACTACGCGATTCATTGTCGTCTAATGCATCCTCCGGCTTAATTAAATGGTCTAATGGTTTTGAAGGGCCACATTTAATCTAACCTGTAAACGAAATATCAAATTCCAATGTCGCCTTCCACAAAATAGAGTTTAATTTTTATTTAAACAAAACGAAAAGAAATTATGTAAGTATCAGGCAGGAAATGTTTCTTCTGCAGTAACATCAAATCTCTCAGCTCACCCTTTTTGTGTTTAAATTTATTATTCTATTAAAAGTATTATGAGTTAGTAAAAATAATTAATTTATTTTTTAAAGATTAAAACTAAATATGAATTTGCATCGGAGACCTTTTAAGCAGGAGTTTGGTTTTTCTGTGGTGCGTCAAAAAATGCACCCCCTGAATATGAATTGAAGAATGATCAAAGCAAAGTTATTCAGATATCTGAATAACTATCGATTAACGGTCACTAATCTCTACACAGATCAAAGCAAAATTAATGGTTGAACAAATATTTTTAAACCAGTGTAATAAATAAATCGATCAATAAAAATATTACCTGAGGATTTTTAAGTGTTTGTTTTTTTAAACGTGTTTTGTCTAATTATTTTTAAATTATTCAACCAGTTGAATTCAGATTCCTAAGCGAACAGCCCAGATTTTCAACAACTGTTCAAACTGTGTTTTCTTGGATTGGACCGAGGAGAATGTGTTGAATTGTACTGATTAATCATGCAATCGACGAGATCACTCGTACGCAGTCGACAAGACAAAGGACTTAGTTGGATCGATCGTGATAAACTATTTATTCTCAGTCTCAAGACATTGGGATAATTGCAATGCAATAAAAGAATGGATGAAAAAGAAATTTTTCAAATTTTCAATGAGATCTCGGCGAACTTGTTTTTTGCTGATTTTTATTTGTCTTGGTACATTTTGAAGATCCTCGACTTATTTTACTTCTGAAAAATTTGTTTTTACATGTCGGACTCTTATAGCCAACATAAAATCTTGCCTAGGGTTAAGGAAAGCTGAGTGACATTAGGAAGAGTAACTATTGTGGCTCATCGTTGGATAATTCAACTAACAAAAGTCTACGATCGATTGCTAAAAATATTTTACTAGAGAACAATTTATTTGCAAGCGTATGCCTTTTTCTCCGGCATTTTTCATTTGCGTATTAAAACAGATTTTCCGTTCGCTAAAGGGGGAAAATACGGCAGAAGGAGGAATATTTGTCAGGACGAGGAATCATATTGACGAACTTGATGGTTCGCTGATGATATCCTATCGAATCTTTGGATATCTTGGTTACGAAAAAAAGAAAAAACCAAGTGGGTAGAATATTAGATACTTGCCTGATACCAGGTTTAATATACAGCCCTGTATATTAAACCGCCATTACCCTAACTTGGTAATGTACGACAAGGATTGTTGAGAGATCTCACACACTTTGGAGGAATTCAAAAGAACGCAATATTCTGATTATTAAAAAGGTAGATTAAATAAGAAGCAATGTGATCCAAGGAATACTGTCAAGAACGATGTGACAAGAATGAAATTTATGAAATTCCGTTATTCGTTTATAGAAAGACAAATGAACAAAAAAAATGACGGATTGGGATCCATTAAAGAAACAGAAGAGTTTTCTTAACAATCGTTTTAAATTCAAAATGGTTTTGGAATATGCCATGTTATTACTTTTATCACGCGAAATATCAGTGTATGTGTCATTATTTTTTGACTAGGGGCGATAAAAATTTTCGAGAAGTGCGTTTTCAAACCTGAACCTACTCGGCTCAGTGCAACAATTACTGAATTTAAAACGGACATCACCATCAGATCAAACCCTTCATCGTACTCGCCTTGCATAAAACTTTACAAACGTGGATACGTGGATCGACTCCGTGGATCCAAAAACACAAAAATATACGGGATGTCCCACCAAATGTATTATTTTCTCCTTTTATATGTACTAGCTAAAATAATTGACTAAGCGGATTACACTAAGCTGATTTATTTTGAATGTTTCATTGAAATAAATGTGAGGATTATGATTTTACTTTTTATTTATTTATTTATTTTTTTAAAATTTATACTTTTAGAAAAATCAGGTTGAAATTATATGTTAATTTTAGTAAGGCTAATATTGTAAATACAATAAACCTTTTATTTTTGACCAAGTAAACGATGATATGCAATGCAATCAAATAGCCCTTTTTCTTTTTTTCTTGGACAGGTGGTACAGATCATCAGGGGCGATATGGTTGACTCACAAAATATTACAATAATATAAACATGTGGGCGAGTGATGTAACAAAGTAGGTATAAGTTAATTAGTTATAGGTATAGCTATAAGTTAAAATGTTTTTTGCTGTTGTTAAGGGTTAAAATGTCTAGCGCAAGGAACAAACTTTGTATTCGATTTTGCACCCTCCAAAACTCCTGGATACAAATGGACACCCGTAAATAATTTAGATTCGGAAAAACAAAATAAAACGCTTGAACATTTTTTTTTTCATCTTTAATCTAAAATCTAAACTTTCTTGACTATGGCTGAAAAAAATTAAGATTTTTTACAATTTTCAATTAATTAATATTTATGAAAAGTATTGGTTAAGATAAAAAAGTCAGCGTCAAGAGCGGGATTCGAACGCACGACCTTCGGCTAAATACGCCGCTTCTCTACCATTGAGCTGATATTGTGAAGATATACTTCAGTTTAATTATTAAATCCATTACAGTTCATGATCCGATTGACCAATTAACATTTTTCAATTAATTAATATTTAATATGAGAATCAAATAGATTACACGACACTTGAACAATGGCAAAAAGGGGGGAAAATTCGAGAGGTGAGGTTGAGATGGGAAGTTGGTGTCCGAGTGGATCGAGGTCACGATAGCTCCAGTGGTAGAGCAGCGGCGTATCTAGCCGAAGATCGTGGGTTCGAATCCCGCACGTGCCATTGACATTTTTATCTCAACTAAAAACCTTAATTAATTGTAATATATTAATTGGCCAAGCGGACCACGAAATTAGTGAAACTAATTTTATTCATGAATTGATATATTTCTCAACACTTTTTTTTGGAGTGTGATAATCTTTTACGTTTTTGTTTTGATATAGCTTTAAAACAATTCATGTTCACGTAAAAGGTTATGGTGATTCTTTTATAATTATGTTACGATAGCGCTAGAGCGCAAAAAGCAACTTCAATTTCTACTTAAAGGGCGCAGTGTACTATACCCTGAAATTTATCTACAATGTAGATAATATGGAATTTAGATATGTTTGGACACAATTTCATCAAGTTGAATTTGTGGAAAGACAGATAAAAGAAAGAAGGAGGTAGACAGAGTAGAGAGAGAGAGAGAGAGAGAGAGAGAGAGAGAGAGAGAGAGAGAGAGAGAGAGAGTGAGAGAGGGAGACAGATAAAGAAAGATAAAACGTTAATTTGCCTACAAATCGCTATATTTTATTTTATTTTGAACGGTTTAGTCGGATTCGTTCTTTTAGTAATATTATAATTGTTAAGAAAGAAATATCTATGTAATAAAAATTAAAAACAAAGCTTTTATAGAACGTTTTTCGAAATTTATTTAAAACCTAAGAATTTTATTGAAAAAAGGAAAGAAACGAGAATCACCTTGTAAATGAGATCCTTAAGGCTTCCTTTGGCGTTGTATGGTATGACAAGCACTATGTAAGTCTCTTGGGTTGACGGTGAACCTCGGAATTCCAGGTCAAGAACAGGGTAAATGTAAGGGTGTTGTAGGTTGAGAAAGAGGTCCAGCACCGTCGCTCTGGTCGAGGAGTCGCATTTGAGAATGCACCCCGGCCCTTTTGGCACAAGAGTTAGGAGCCTTTCCGTCTTCACCGACGTATCTCTAACCACAAACCAATGTTTGTCCATCCTGGAGCCTGTAACAGATTAACTCGTATTATCGCTTATTATAACCGCTTGCTCCATTGAGACAAACTAGTGTACGATAAATAAAATTAGTTGTAGCAACAATCAATGATATTATATTTCTTCAAAGGAGAATCAAGTGACTGAACGATGAAACTAGGAAAAGTACAATAACCCAGAAAGTTGAAGTGCTTTGGGAATACTAAATCCCAGCTTTCTTGTATCTTTCTTTTTTCCTATCCCAATTAGAACATCTCAGTTATTCTTCTATTTTCATAAATTACCCAATTAAATTTTGAATTTTTTCCTTTTTTTTAAAACAGAAACATGTTAAATTGAAATGATAGAATTCTTAAGAAAAACTTTAATATGTTCAGAAGAAAGCGATGAATTTTGGTGGATGAAATTTTTTCAAACATTTTGAAAGTCTTTTACATTCTAAATAAAATGATACTAGAAACTCAAAAGTTGGATCTGAAGGTAAACATTTATCGTCTAACAGACAGTTGGGCCGTCGGTGGCCCCATCGGTTTAGGATTGACACAGCGCTCATCACTGTAAGGTAAAGGTCCCTGGTTCGAATGCAGGGCTATCCAGCGGCCCTGAATTCGAACCCGATATACTTACAAATGGGCTTTTTTTTTCAAAAACACCAGCTCCCCGAGGGTTGATATAACGCTGTTGCGAACCCTCGTAAAAAAACAAAAAAAAACAAAAAAACAGTTGTTTTTGAAAATTAGGTTTAAAAAAAAATTAACAATTAACACAGATTAAATTTTAATATTTTAGTCAGCTAAATTTTCAATTTTCTCCTTTTTTAACAGAAAATATGATAAATTGAAATTATCGAGATCTTAAGAAAAACTTCAATATGTCCAGAACATGAATTTTTGAGTTTCTGGTATAATTTTTTTCGATAAAAAGAACTTTCAAAATATGTGAAAAAACAGGGCATCACATTCATAAAAAAAAAGTTGAACACCAGGTCTCCCAACTAATTCAAATGCTAAATGCACCAGCATTTTTACGTGAATCACTCCTTGGGAACAAAACTTTTATAATAAAATAGATCCAAAATATATTACAAATAAAAAGCCACGTCCTTTTAAAAAAATTACAAAGTTGATATATCCTTTACGATGTTACACAAATTTAATCCTCATAAACGATTTTATTATTTATTAGATTTTTAAATTTCCCTTGTAATTAAAAAAATTATATTACTTAATGAGTAATTATAAAAAATGTGCCATAGCGGACAACTTTATAGTAAGATGACACGGTGTCAGGAACATAAGCGGGGTAAGTAACTCCCTCAAGAACCCCTTCACCACTACTCCGCTAATTATCATATCTAATCTCAGCTCTGATGATTTTTTGCTTTGTTTTCCAATTGCTAATCAAAATTGTTAATAGAAATTGAAATGCTAATTTTGATTTTGTTTACTCAGGGCTAGATTTATAAACAAAACATTTGATATGCAAATACTGAGTTTTATTTACACTTCACTTGATAGTTAAGAAGATTTTTTTCAATAATAAAGTGTTCAAACCTCAAAAACAGTTTTTTTCTCACGTTATATGCTAGTTTAACTTTTCAATTAATAAAATTCTAACCTTTCAAGAACATTAATAAGCGGGTGAACAAAATCGACACATTTATTAACAACATACCTATAAATTGTAGACTATATGAATTTGTACAAAAATTAAAAAAACAAACAAAAAACAGCACGATAATGTTAGGGCAAACAAGAAACAAATAAGGAAAGTCAATAGTAAACAATATAAACCCTCTCCAATAAATCAGTTATAAATGTCATTATCCAGCACAATCTTTTGTTAATATTTTCGTATACAGCACTCGTATATAGCAATCGGAAAGATTGATCTCCCCATAACGGTCTTGTCTAAAGCCCAGTCTCTAATGACCCGGAAAGATCCCGTCATACAGTATTCATGCCTCATCGTTTTCAGATATTTCCTCTCTCAACAGTCTTCTAAGGTTTTATTAGATTTTTTTTTTTAATTGAACTTTGCCAAACTCTATTTTACATATTTTTAAGATTGAATAATTTTACTAATCAACTAAATGATTATTTCCGATTCATATTTGCCACGATAGACGTTCTGGATTCGAAACCCGCCAGCGCCTTATTTAACTTAGAATAATTTGAAAAAATGTATTGCAATGTGGTTTGAGTCCTCATCTGTAGCACCCAATGGATAGTTGGACGTTAAGCTCCCCTGTGTAATAGGAATTAATTTTTTTTTGTAGGGGGAGTCAAGTGACGATTCCAAATCTTTTCTCCAGTGGGCCCCATACTAGATCTACTACTAGATTTTAGCCATACCTTGAAAAGTGCACCTTTTCTTTAAAATGATAAATTATAATAAATCATAATTCCCTAGTTTTCGTGATCCGCTTGACCAATTAAAATCTTTTAATTAATGAAGGTTTTTAGTTGAGATTTAAAAAAATGGCAAAAAGAAGGAAAAATTCAAAAGGTGGGGTTGAGATGGGAAGTTAGTGTCCGAGTGGATCGAGGTCACCATAGCTCAAGTGGTAGAGCAGCGGCGTATCTAGCCGAAGATCCTGGGTTCGAATCCCGCTCGTGACACTGACTTTTTTATCTCAACTAAAAACCTTAATTAGTTTAAATAAATCATAATATCATAATAAAGTTATCGTATTTACAAAAAATATAAATATGAGACATCATTCTCGAAAACATTATCGTAATGTTAGTAACATTTGGTTTATAAAATCAGCCATCGTCCTTAATAAAACTTACAGAAACAAAATTGAAAATACACCCGTCAGAACAGTATTATTTTAACGCCGATCTGTCAAAGAATTACCATCTAATCGCATTTTTCAGTGACAATAATTTTTTTTGTCACATTTATTTTACCAAACTCGAGCGACGAAAATGGTAATATATTTTTACAAGTCCTCTGACAAAGACTGTATTATTATCATTGGGCGTAAATTAAGTCTGTCAATATTGTCCTTTCGCGAAGATGAACTTAATCTGGGAGCGTCCTTGTCGAAATACAGCTAGGATTCTTTTCCTTTGTTAACCGTTTTTTTCCCTGCGTGCTTAATATTGATTAGCAATTTTCTTCTCTCGTCTGAATCTCTGTTCCACGGTTGAGAGTTTAAATTATTCAACGTGGAGTCAAATTGCGCGGGACCAACATTTTTTTACTCCCTAATCCCGGATTCTTCTTCTTTTTCACCAGTATTTTGTAGAAATTGCTTTAGTTGGAAGGAAACTCCTAAATGGATGTCAAACGAAAAATAGGCTTAAAAATTTATCTTGAAAAAAGTGTAATCAGTGTACAGGGTGTCCTTTTTAGTAGGCCCCGCTGAATTTCTCTTGAACCAGTAACGCTATAAAAAAAATCAATAAATAAATTTAAAAAAATACGTGTCTAATATTTTTTCTAGTTTCAAATATTGGAGCCTTTTTTGGAGAAAAACTATACAAGGCACCTCAGGCTCAACTTCAAAATTTCAAATACGACCCTATACTTCCTGACACATCATTTTAAAGGATTTTTACGATGAAAACAATGGTGCAATCGGATTTTAAATTGGTCAAAAAATGAAAAGCTATGGCAAAAGTTATTTTATTCAACAATAATTAAATTTTGCTATCAACATCGTTATTATTATCGGCTATGTCATTGAAAATACTAACGAATTCAAGTTTATTTTTTCATGATCATATAGGCTGTCTCAAGGATAGACGACAATACTTAAAGGAGGTAGTCAGATGGTCATGTCAGATTGGACGAAAAAGTCCCTATTGGCCAAAGTTTTATGCCAAATCGTATTCCAGATATATAACCTTTCAGGTTACTTCCCCCGATAATAACTTTATTTCTCAAACTCCATCTTATCTCTTAAAATGTTAATCCTACTGTAAATTTGATTACACCAATAAAATGTGGAAAAGTGATACTTTTTCTATTTTTCAGTAATTAAATTTACAGCAGGATTTTGTGAGATATAAGCGACTGTATGGGCTAAAGTGAAATTTCAAATAACCTGACAAATGAAATATCTCGAATACAATTGAAAATCTGACTTTGTACAATGGCGAATTTTGGCCCGATTTGAGATGTATGAAACCTTCTGAAGTATTGACGTCTGTTCACAGGACACCCTTGCTATTGCTGCTTAAAACGCTCAATCGGAACGTAAGTCTATATTTAAGTGAATTTTATTTGCCTTATCACGGTCAGTTTTATAGGTAAGCGTTTTGGTTCATCTTTTCGTGTTTGTTGTCCTAGTACTTCAGTTATATAGATATACGAATATGTATGTAGGTAGAAGACTAGTTTTTGCACAGGTAATTTTATTAACTATATTGAATAATTAGATAATTGGAACAAGGACATGTGAAAGTGGTCATTTTCGTGTCTTAAGGCAAGAATGGTACCAGCTCCAAGGGAAAGAATGCCCAAAGTGGAGCCCTCTGGAAAGGTGCGCAAAAATACGATGCTACTAAAGGGTAGTCACTAGTGTCACTACCTAATTAAAAGTCTGGTTGAAATATCGAAACAGGTTTGCTAGAGCTTAGTTTTCTTTTAAGCAGAGAGCGATCTTTCGAGTGTTCAGCTTTGTCTTTGTTCCTATATGTATATGAAATAGTTAATAAACTCCGAATTGAAAAGAGGATTCTTGCTTTTAGCGCCCCAATACTGGAAGAGGGGCAATTGTAAGGTTATCTAAGGTTTGGAATATAGTTTATTGGATATAGTTCGGTCACAATTTCGAATGTTGTAGAGTATACTAACAGGTTCAGTTTATTCAAATAGGTTTTACATTACCTTTCACTTTTAATTCATATTTAACTATTAAAAGTTTATCAGTTCTGTTGTAGATCTACTGACTTTCAGTTTACTTATAGACACGCGTGTTATCCACTTATAGTAGCTTCTTTCCACATAACCTCGTTTTACATCAACTCTACAAATGTAATTAATATAATTGCTGGAGATCCGAAGTCTTCGAATGTAATGTAATATTTATTCAGAAATCGTGAGATGTGGTCTGGTGTGGTGTAGGTATGAGAAAAACATTTTCTTTATCGTGCCAACGTTTCGATTTTTATAAAGATCATCTTCAGGCCTGGGATTTACAAACATTGTTTACATTTAACAAATACATTTAGGATGTGGAAAAGTGAATTTATACAATGCAAAATATACTTTTTATATTCAATCAAAGTATTTCTACTCACTCAAAGTGTTTGTCTTCTGTGTATTTGCGCCATTCTTGCGTGTCGTGTTGAGATTGCCAATGAGATTTTGCTGTTTTATGTTTATATACGTTTATGTTTGAACACCAACAAAATTTCGACTTCAAAAATCCAAAAATATTACATACAGAACAAAACAAACATAAATGTAATTGCTTAGAAATGGTTTATATCAACAGAGATAAACACAGCATCAATTACAGAACATAACTAAACATAAACTCAGTCGCAGCTACGCCAATATCATTAATCAAATTCAATATAGATAACATACGTATATTATCACATTACATCAAATATTTTTCACATAGTTTAATTGTCCAACAATTTAGCTTCCTTTTCCTATTTATCCCTTTCTATATAATCCAGAAAGGATAATCTGGCCGAACCGTTACAAACACATTTTTTCCCTTCGTCGGCTCTTTTCACCTCAAAGAAGCCGACGCTTTATGCAAAAATGACTTTTCTATACCGACTTCCTTCCCCACCCCTTCAAAATCCAGCGTATATAAACATAAAACAGCAAAATCTCACTGGCACTCTCAACACGACACGCAAGAATGGCACAATTACACAGAAGACAAACTCTTTGAGTGAGTAGAAATACTTTGATTGAATAAAAAAAATATATTTTGCATTGTATAAATTCACTTTTTTTCATCCTAAATGTATTTGTTAAATGTAAACAAGTTTGTAAATCCCAGGCCCTGAAGATGATCTCAATAAAGATCGAAACGTTGGCACGATAAAGAACATGTTTTTCTGAAACCTACCACATCTCACGATTTCTGAATAATTATCGATTAACGGTCACTAACCACCACACACGTAATGTAATATATCCTTCAAATGCCTTTAATTAGTTCTGTAGGGATAAAAATGACGATAGTTTTTATAAATCATGTTTTCTTTCATCATTGTTAATATAATTGCTGTAAATACAAATTAACGAACAAAGTTAAGAAAATAACTGTTCTCGATTAAGGTTCACATGCTGTAAATATAATGAAACGATTTATAAACTTTTGATAATTTGATTATCCAGCCATTTGAATTGTAATCGCTTATTAAAGTTTAACTGTTTTTATACCTGTTTTAGGACTCGATTGAAGCTTCGCGTGCAAGTGTAATGTGATTATTTGTCAAAGGTAGGCCGATTACGTAACAGCCCAAAAGGGCTTAACCCAGTTTTTTTAAAAATTCCATCTATGATAACGTTTCTGTAAAAAAAATGAAGAAAATATACCGTAGTGATGGTCAAATCAGTTGACAAAAGATAATTATTTTTGTTTTCAGAAAAAACTATTAAAAAGAAAATATTAACACATTTATGAAGTATTTTGTTATTTTCTATGTATATTCAAATATATTCGTGTAAAATATTTACAGGATATCCGCAATGTTGACATTTTTGTACACTTTCAGTCGTTCCTGGTAGAGCAAGCCCGTTTAAATTTGTACAAGGCTTACTACAAATATTTACCCTCCTGGTAAAAATTGATTCCTCAAGAAAAAATATTGTCAGATTGTAACTCATCGTGTGGGGTAGAAAACGTTCAGTTAAATAAAAGTATTTGGAATCGTCGATATGAAAGCAACGGACACGGAAACTAAATGTTTAACCTGATTAAGAATAGGCCATACGCGATTGACAAGGATACATAATTTTGGGCACATAGAAAAAGAATGCTCGATGTTTCCCACTTAATTGAAGGATGTCATTCGTCGGCACCATATAGAGAGCGTGTAAATAGACAACTCGATATGAGAATTGTGCTTGAGCAAAGCAGCGAGTATATGTATAGTCCCCTATTCCGATTTTTAGAGGGAGGAAACAGGGCTGTTTTACTGTATATAATACTCTAAAAATATTTCGATTTTTGTTTATTTGTGCATATTGAGACTGAATGTATTTATTAGCGTGAAGGTGTAGTGTGAGAGGCTCGATGGCAGATTATTGAGTGCGCCATCGACTCTAAATTAGATTTGTTATAAAAGATTTGTAGAAGTTGATGAAATAATGGTATGTAAATAGTAAAAAATGTATTTAAGTTCGAGTGATGGTGTGAATGGGTTTGGATTTAGAAATTGATTACGTTGGATAATAAATGTCTTAGCTGTTGACAGCACCCAACCTCAGTTGCCGGACGTTAAGACCGAGGTGTGACCTCGGACTGACAACTGATTCTCGAGGCCTGTCGGTAATTCATTGTAAAGTACACAAAAGCTGGAACTGCCGGTGTTACACAATTGTAAGTATTATTACAACATACTTATTTACTTACATCAACGATCGGCAAGCCCAACAATCTATAAGTGGATAAATATGTATGTAGTGTGTTGTGTTAAAAGATTTCTTGTTTATAACTGTAAAAAGATCAACCAAGCAGACGGACTAATGTCCAAGTCGTAAATGATATGTTATCTTTGTCAAAATACTAAAAATAAATAAAATAGAAAAAAGTATCATGCATTAACTCGAAGTTGTCCCCAATAAATGGTTCTAATGGGACCACGGCTTCCAGCAGCTTATCCTCATTGGACCTATGGACCTTAGTGCATGTATGATATATATATATATATATATATATGGTGATTAGTTCTGTATGAGTAGGGACGTTGATTTCACCCCATACCATAACTGTCTTTGAAAAGACAGTGACTCACGCATGGCACATGAGGCAAAGCGTTTTCCCCGTTTTCTCCACACATGGTCCCGGTCATCTGATAGCAAACCATACCGGCACTCAACTGTGAAAACAGCCCACCATTGTTCATGTATCCAAGCGAAATGGAAATTTGCGAATAGTCGTCTTTCTATTCGATGCCTCTCCAGAAGTAGAACATCCGATGTGGGACTTCTAGAGACTAGGCCATTTTAATGAAGACTTCTGATGACCGTTTTAGAGTTCACCCTTTCATTATGGACCATTTGGAGTTGACTAACTATGAAGGAAGCCGTTAATGACGGTAGAGCAGAAATAAAACAAGTTATTAATAATGTATTTTCATTTTAAGTCAACTGTTAATCTTTATTACATAGTTTTTTTTTTGACTGGGGCTTCCAACATCTAGGTCATTTCAGCCCCCAATTAAGTTTATATTCTTTTACCCCTTCAAACACTACATTCATACAAATAAATACATTCATACATAAATACATCCATACAGTACACTCATTCCGTTTGGTCGGTGGAGTACTTGATATTCCTCCACCGACCTATACCCAAACTAATCTAGATTGGGGTCGATGGAGTTTATACTACTTAGTATAAGAGTACTTTTATAAATATTCCGCCATCGACCCCGAACACACGCTCATACGCTCTCAACGTTCGAGGGGCGATGATGACATTATATTTCACCCTCACCTCTCGACATTCACGCTAATAAATACATGCATTCAGACAAAACATATAGACACATAAGACATTATATACAATAAAAAAAAAACCAATTTCCCCTAAAAAGCGGAATAGGGGATCCAGAAACCCGCTGCAGTGCTCGAGTACCATTTTGAGATTGAATGGCATGCCTACACACTCCCTGTATAGAGCCAAGGCATGACATCGAGCAACCTTTCACTGCATAAGAAGCACCTGCGCGGGCTTTGGCCCGTGTGTCAACCGCGTATGACCTATTCTTAATCGCGTAAGGACGATTTCTTGTTTCCGGCTCAGGTTCGTGCTCTTGACGCGCAAAAGCCTCTCGGGACCCGGCCCACTGACGTTGCCATCTTTCTTTTATCAAGTTCTTTACTGCTAGCTTGGCGTCAGAGGGCCTGGTCGCGATGGTCCGGTCTGGTGGGTGAGACGTCCCGGCCTTTGCCGTCTCGTCCGCACGTTCATTACCCTCCAGCCCGACGTGTCCGGGGATCCAGACAACAACCACAGTTTTTCCCAGGCGCTATTACATAGTGAACAAATAAATATCAGTGTCAGTTTATTTTTTCTTTGTGTAGAAGTCAGTAATCAGTACACTTTTAACCAAAAACTTACTTAATATTTTAAAAAATTCGTTAGTGAAAGCATGAAATAATATAAACTATTTAAAAATAATTTAATTTCAATTAAACATGATAGGTGTTATTGAAGTTTTAATTCTAATAGGTTATTATTCAAATTTATAAAATGTTTTCAAAATAAATTTGTATGTTTACCTATGTCTTTTAGGTGTTGGAGCAGGGTATATCTCGGACATCCTTTAAGGTAATGTGTGCACGCTGTGTGCGCCTCTTCTTTCGCTTTCCTTTCCAGCTCCAGACGTTCTTGGCCTCCGCCCTCCGCCTCCAGTGCCATGTACTCGTATCTGCCTCCATGTCTGTAAAGGGAGAGAATAAGAATGGATTGTTTTTCAAACTGAGAAAAGGTTGAAAGCCTGGGGAAATGGACCCATTCCGTTGTTTACCCATTAAGACAGATTGATTTCATCACGAACCGAAACAGATAACGAAAATCGGGGGATATTGGACATTTTAACCGCTTTGTATGACTGAGGTAAGTAAAAGGAGATTTGTTTACTCACAAAATATAAAGGAGATATCTACGAATTGTTTTGAGAAAGATTACACTATAGAGAGTCGTTATGTACAAGTTATTTTGTACGAAAATCAGAAAATTACATGGCAGTTGTATTCGTAAGATGTAAACGTAAATAAATTTGTTTTAGTATAAATAAAGAATATTTTTACACCCACTATTGGCAATTTAGATCGTTTAAATATTCTTTTTTCTAATGAAATTCAGAACAGATGATTTGTTAGGGTCACAGGAAGGAAAACCGTAGACAATACTAAAACTTTAAATGGTTTAGTCGTACTGATTAAAAGATAATACATTTTCGCTGGTTAATGCGTTGATATGAAAAAAAATGTAAATTGGCTGCCAGAAAAAAATACAAATGGGTTGAAATCGTTGGAAAGAAATATTGAAATTGAGCTATTCGCTTGCTTGGAAGTTCCTCTCACGAGCGCTGGGAAATCGAGACAGCCAGCCAATATGTTCCTTCTATAAATCACATCGTTCTAATGGAACTGTAAGCAGCTTCAATCATCTCAATCGAATGGGTTGCAATACACATGTAAGCTCCTTTGATATGCCTGCCGAAACAACTTGCTGGTTATAACTTACGTCTTGATTACGTTAAAAAACGTCAATTCACTTCCTTCAAAATTCGATTCTAAAGGTTGTACGTCATTTGTCAAATTTAGAAAAGATTCATCTCTGAAAATGTCCAGCAATTCGACGACTGTCGTAATAAAGCTTAAAAATCTCTCGAAAGAGAGCAAAGATGAACAAGTAGGTAGATTTGGATCATTAAACCGAAAAGCTTTATAAAAGAGAAAATGAGATTGTTACGTTTTGTAAAATGTGTCGTTTTTGTAACAAAATACTACACATTATGTTTAATTTTTTCCGGTGAAATATGACGATGAAAACATTTCGTACAAATTCTTTTATAGAAACTTAAAATTTCATTTTAATGTCTCGGTTTAAGACATGATATACATGTACCTTTGTATTGGTTTAGGTTTCCATTTTCTCTTCCAGAAACACGTCCAGTAGTTGGGGTTTCGTGTCCAGATCCATTCTGCCCGATGAAGAGTCTATACCGAATCTAAATCTATTGAAATTTTAGAAATCCGCGATCGATTTGTAATTTGCTCTTCGATTAATTAGTCGGTAGATAAATGATTCGTAAAGAAAATTTCTGTGCAAGTTACGCACTTTATAACGTGTTAAGTTGATCTTTGCTGAATGAAGATGTTGATTAAATTGTGATTAGAGTGAAATCGGTTTTTTTTATTATGGTCGATTATCTGACATCAAACAGGCAGGTTACTCACTAACTTTTGATTTTAAAATGTTTGAAATGCAAAAAAAATCCTTGGGTATAAATGTATTTTTATATTTTAAGCGGATTAGCGTTTGGGAAGAATGCCTGTGTCTTTTATGGAACTGTTTCAAAAATTGCACAAGGTGAACAATGCTTAATATTATATATGTAAATTACAAACATCATCTACAAAATAGTTCGAAATTATCGAATTTATTTAAAATATACCTTTGTATTGGTTTAGGTTTCCATTTTCTCTTCCAGAAACATGTCCAGTAGTAAGCCGGGCGTTTCGTTTCCAGCTCCATTCTGCCCGTTGAGGAGTCTATACCGAATCTAAAAATACAACTGTTTGCGCTTAGAATCCCTCCCACCGGTTAAATTCCGTTTTTACATGGAAATTTAAACGCGATCATTTTCAGCTTGTAAAATTTCTCTTGTCAAGAGGAAACGGTTTACGGTAAAAATCGTACCGTTCGATTTACAGATTGCGTTAAGAAGGGAAAATGCCCAAGTTGGAGGAAGAACGTTAATACGAAAAGTTTCGAGTGTTGTCGGTTCCCAGTAGCTCGTCACGTGACTTTGAGTCATGTTTATGCCACTCGCGGATGTGTCGGTTTGAATTATTATATCGGTTGTAGTTGGATATCCATCGTGAAATAAACCCAACGAGCATCATTAAAAAAACATGCTGTTTATGTCTGCCTTTTTTATGCTAGTTAGTTAAATAATATTTCCTAAACTCTACAATCTCCTTTTTCCAAGATGAAACAGAAAATGATAAAATTATAAATATTTATAATGTAGGCAGTACATAACAGTAAAAAGGCGTAATATTATGACGAGTATCGGAGAGTGTCTAGTTTTTGAAATTATGTATTTTTTAAATTAAAAATCCGATGTATTGTTAATTCCCCAGGAGTATAGAAAATAACCATTTTCTTGGGAGTTTCCCAAGAAAACACCTCCGTTTCACTAGCCGTTTCTGAGATACGAAAGTCTGGATATTGGTAAAAACGATGTTTTCAAGAAATGCTGGTTTTTTACCTTTTTGAAAATCTCAACGTAGCTACTTATGTTTTGTCGTTTTTTAAATTTTTTATATTTTAAACGTATGAATGGTAAATGAATAAAAAACATCCCAATTTTCTCCGTTTAAAATGACTATACATTGACAATGTGTCCAGGATCTCAGGTTAAATAAAGTAAACGAAATTCTGCCAGGATATTACAGTTTCGTTGACATGGTAGTCATACAATGGAGCAAAGGTAATTATAATTTTGTCTCCACGGTTAGTAATTGAATTTTGTCATTTTTTTTGTGTAAAAAATAAGCTAGCCTTTTTATGCTGAACTGGTTGGTATAATCTAAATCATGACATTAATGTTTGTCAGACAGCTCTTGCTGCTTATACATTGGCCAGTTTTCTGTCCTTTTTCCCAACCCCCATTCGGCACTGAGTCTGTTCAAATTCACGGAAATTTCGCGCGCTTTTCCAAGTGGACTTTAACCCTACCAGTCTTAACCTCACACTTTCATCAATAATCAAATTAACATTTGTCAATTGTTCCAATTCGTGATAAATCAACTCAACAATTAATTAAAAATGTATCCTCGAATGTTCAGTTTCCTCTGGATTTTCGTGAAGAAATGTACAAGGGAAAACAAACACTCTCGCTGACTGATAAGATTGAAAGAAATTTTATATGATGATTGATCGTTTGCTTTATGATTAACCATGTCAGTTCCGAGATTTCCGCCCTGGAAGTGTAACAAAAAGTAATACTACATATCGGTTTTCCTGGGTTTTTACTTCTGTAACTTGGAGACTTTACTGGACTTATTTTTATGTATTATTTGCCAAGTAATTTAATATTAATTTATTATCCATCTGTTGATTATAAATTTGCTTTAATGACTAAATTTTTGCTAATTTGTACTGTAGATATAAAAAAATCCTCAGATCCAAAGGAAAAATTTTGCGAAAGAAATTGTTGTAGTCTGCCTCACAGTAGTTGAATAGAGGCATAAGGGGGTGACTTCCAATGATAAATATAACAAGGGTTTTTCCTTTCAAGGTTGACAGACGAAAATTTCTTTTTTATTATGCTCTCAAAGAACTATCCATAACATTTCCTTTATTTATTTTTTTATAATAGATCATATATGGTACGTCACATATTTAATTTTTTGGTAGCTTTGATACATTACAAAATATTCAGTTAATTAATGGACATTACATTATACTAAAAAATAGCATAACTTTGAACACACGCAATGTTGTATCATATTTTATCAAAAAATTGTTTAAAACTCTAAAAGTTAAAACATTAGTTCAATATGGTTAGGGATGGTTTTTTATATTAGTTATTTTTATCTCAACTAAAAACCTTAATTAATTGGTCAAGCGGACCACGAAAACTAGTGAATTTAATAAGTTAAATGAAGTATATCTTCACTAAAGCTCTCCGTGGTCATTTCATTTGTCGCCGAGAATCAAATAGATTACACGACATTTGAAAAATGGCTAAAAGGACGGAAAATTCCAAAAATGTGGGGTTGTGATGGGAATTAGTGTTCGAGTGGATCGAGGTCACGACAGCTCAAGTGGTAGAGCAGCGGCGTATCCTAGCCGAAGGTCGTGGGTTCGAATCCCGCTCGTGACACTGACTTTTTTATCTCAACTAAAAACCTTAATTAATTGAAAGATATTAATTGGTCAAGCGGACCACGAAAACTAGTGAATTTAATAAGTTGAATGAAGTATATCTTCACTAAAGCTCTCCGTGGTCATTTCATTTGTCGCCGAGAATCAAATAGATTACACGACATTTGAAAAATGGCTAAAAGGACAGAAAATTCCAAAAATGTGGGGTTGAGATGGGAAGATAGTGTTCGAGTGGATCGAGGCCACGACAGCTCAAGTGGTAGAGCAGCGGCGTATCCTAGCCGAAAGTCGTGGGTTCGAATCCCTCTCGTGACACTGACTTTTTTATCTCAACTAAAAACCTTAATTAATTGAAAGATATTATTTCAATATTGTTAAATGTTTAATATAAATTTTAATTAGTTTAACATTTATGTTTTTAATACTATATTTGTTGATCCATTGATTTTTTGGATTTATCTTGTTTGTGGTTAAATCGGACAATAAAATCGTCTGTCAATTAATTATTTTTATTAATAAACACTTTTGCCGCACTGTAACCTTGTAAGATGTAAGGAAGTTTTTTCTATTGAAAAACACTGGAAGATTCAAAATTTCCAACCATTTAGCAATGATTAATCTACAACATATTATTAGGAAAACTAATGGAGTTTTTTGATGCTTTCTAAGCCTCTTTTGATAAACCAAAATTAATCTATGTATAGGAATGGCAGAGCTCTAAAAATTCGTCAGAACAATACGTAAAAACAACACATTAAAACCGTTAATAACGATTCTTAAAATTTTAGTTTTCAATAAATTTTTTCATTAAAACAT